CTCTTTCTATCTGGATATGAGTCATTTCAAGACCCAAGTATTGGTAGGAGAGCACACAAATTGTTACACATTTTATTAAATTTGTTCATAGTACCCTTTTATACATTACTGTTCTATTTTTTATTTTTTTGATACTGCGGATTGAACTCAGGGACACTCAACCACTGTGCCACATCCCCAGCTTTATTTTGTATTTTATTTAGAGAAATGGCCTCACTGAGTTACTTAGCACCTGGCTTTTGCTGAGACTGGCTTTGAATTCAAGATCTTCTAGCCTCAGCCTCCTGAGCTGCTGGGATTATAAGCATGCACCACCATGCCCGGCTATATTACTGTTTTAAAACTGCTTTATTGATAAATAATTCATATGTTCAAAACACCCTCTATAAGTGCACAATGCAAGTTTTGTTATAGAGTTGTGTAATCGTCACTATGCTCAACTTAGTAGATTTTGATCACCCTCCAAAGCAACTCCATGCCCCCTAGCAGTAACTCCTCATTTCCCCTGACTCTACTCCCATCCCCCTGCTTAAGTCTCACTAATCAGTTTCCTGTTTCTATGGATTTTCCTATTCTGGAGGTTTTATATAGATGAAATTGTACTATTTATACTTTTTGTGATTAGCTTTTTTCACTTACATTTTCAAGGTTAATCCATGCTGTAGCATAATGGCAGTTCTTATTCATTTTTATTGAGGCATAATATTCTATCATATGGCTATAACACATTGTATTTATTTATTCATCATCATCATTAATGAACATTTTATTTTTCTGCTTTTTTGACTATTATAAATAATGCTGCTTTGAACATTCATCTATAAGTTTTTGTGTTAAGGATGTGGTTTCATTCCTCCTGACTATATTACTGGGTAATGGAATTACTGGGTCACATGGTCACTACAAAAAGTGGTGTTTTCAGAACTTCCCAGATTGTCTTACTATTTCACATTCTCATCAGCAATATATGAAGCTCTCAAGTTTTTCTTCATTTCAGACAACACTTTTTTATTTTACTTTTATTTAAAATAATATAGCCACCTAATGGGTATGAAATATATCTTATTGTGATTTTGATTTGCATTTTCCTAATCATTAATGATGACCCACATCTTTTTGTGTGCTTACTGGCTATTTTTCTAACTTCTTTTTAAATTTAAAACCACTTGTACATTTTGAAATTTGGTTATTTATATTTTTGAATTATTATTTATATATTTGAGGTATGTTTCCTATCAGATATATGATTTGTTTTCATATTTTTTCTGATTCTGAGTTTGCTTTCATTTTTTGATTTGTTCTTGTAAGCACATTTTAAAATTTTATAAAGTCCATTTTGTCTAGTTTTATTTCTGTTGCTTATGTTTTTTTTTTTTTTCATCCAAGAAAGCTTCAGCTAACCCAAGGAAATGAAAATTTGCTTCTGTAATTTCTTCCAATTGCTGGATAGTTTTACTTCTTACATATAAGCAGTAGGTGGCCTTTTGAAGTGTTTATAATGGGAATAAATTTACTACAGGAATATCCTGATGTGACAACACTAACAATCTGTATGTAACATAGTGTACCTATGTGCTAATGATGGATGTGTAAATTCTTCTGTGTGTTCATTGAATATATTGGATTGTAAATCCATTACTAAAGATTTTAGATATTTTTCCCTTGTTATTTTTCCTTTTTTTTTTTTTTTTTGGTACTCAGGGGCACTTGACCAGTGAGCCACATCTCCAGACCTATTTTGTATTTTTGTATTTTATTTGGAGACAGGGTCTCACTGAGTTCCTTGGCGTCTCCCATTTGCAGAGGCTGGCTTTGAACTTGGAATTCTCATGTCTCAGCCTTCCATGCTGCTGGATTACAAGCGTATGCCACAGCACCTGACTTTACATTTTATTTAATACAATTTGTATATTTCATGTCTTATTTAGGCCTTATCCAGTCTGACTGTCTTGTATAGTAGGGAACTATTTGATACAATAAACAGCCACCTAGTAGTGTGGAAAATCAAGTTGCTTACTTTTGGCAATACAACATTATCTTACAGTAGGAAAAATATAGATTGTTGCATATGGGAAATTAGAGAAGAATAAGGAAGATACTAAACAAGATGACTGTAGCCCACCATTTTTAAATAAAAAAATGACATGCAACTATTCATGCATTTTAGAATCAGATTCTATTCTTATATGTCCAGACCTTTCCATTTGAGAATATGTTATTGGTTTGCAAAATATGATTTAAATTCTTTGGGAGTTTTTGATAATTAAAAAATCATTGTTACTTTATGTATTCTGTCAAAGCCTTGTTGGATTTACGAACCTGATATTTATAGATACATAACCTTTATTATTGAGATTCATATTGCATTTACTTATTCATTTGCTTTCCTTCATTTTTATGTTTAAATTCTTATCTGTCAACTGTAAATTACTCTCTTGCTTTACATACTAACACTTATAATGTATGTTTTTTTTTTCTGTATAAGATAAAAAGTGATAGTCAACAAACTTTAAAAGTTAATTCTCATCAAACAAGAGCAAGTTATTCATGACCAAATTAAATTCCCTTTGTTAACTTAAAATATGTACTTTCAATTAGTATTAAAAGTGAACTAAAATTACTTTGTGGAGTAAACATTACTTCCGTTTATTGATCAAAAATGTATTCATAGTAGGTGAATATTGTGGAAAATTATAAGAACAAACTATTAAGAAACTCTTATTGAGGTCATCATTATGTGCCCACACATGGGTACTCCTTTTAGCATCTCAGTTTAATTTATTTTCAGAAGCTATAGAACATTACCACAAATAATGATTACTAATACCTTAGAAATTTGAAGTATCCAAAACATCACACTGTATAAAAACTTGACCTTAAAGTACCACCATGTGCTTTTGTTTTTATTTCACTGAGCCCTTTGTGGCTCAACTTTCGTTGATATCAGAAGGAGATCAGTGCTACCTAAGTACTGGTGGCTATGTACTTTACAGAGCCAAGAGATTTACATAGCTCATAGTCCTGGAAGTCCAGGAGCCTGGTGCCTGCATCCACTGGCCCTAATGGGAGCCTCTGGCTGTGACACAACATGGTTGATGTCAGCACTGTGAGTGCACTCGTAAGAGACAGATTAAATGGAAAGACAAAGCCAGAGCCTTTCAGAGGCAGGCTTACTCTTTTAAAAACAGCTCACTCTTGCAAGAAGAACTAGATAACTCTACAAATCCAGCAGTAACTCCTTCCAAGGATGTTACTCACAATGACCTAACTACCTGCCACTATGCCCCACTTCTTAAAGATCTACCCTTTCTCAACAATGCCATACTGTGAACCAGTTTTCCAAAAGAAGGACCTTGGGGTCACAGCATATTCAGACCACAGCAATACTCATCAATTTTTCTTATTATATGGCAACATACAAAATTCTGTCAGGTGTCTATATTATAATATGCTTTATAACTGCTTCCCCTTTTCTAAATGCAGCCTCATTTCTGAAGGTTAGATTCTTTTTATTGTTTTATTTGACCAATTCTTTCATCTTTTACCTCCATTGCTATCCATCTTTTATACTGCAAATAAAAGTGTCTTTCTAATATAGAAAGTCCAGTCACTGCCCCTTCACAGCCTGTTAGCCACATGGGATAAAAGGTACACTCTTTAATATGATATCCATGCCCTTTTGTATCATACTCAAGACCAGTTGTATCTTCACCAGCTACATCAAGTTGCTCCCTGGTTATGAAATGCAGTACGTGCATAATCTCATTGCTCTACCCTTTGTTCATGGTGTTGCTTCAGTCTGTGTGTTTTCTTCACTCAGGTGACATATTTTCTTTCTGCCACCTTTTTGGGAAGAGGTCTCTTATTATGCTGTAGTTAGGGTTAAAGCTTTGTTTTTATCCTATGATGCTTTCTTAAACCACCCTAGAATACATTTCACTTTAACTTGGTGACTTATTACTTAAATTCCTCAGACAGACAAACTTGGGTTCATGTGTTGCCTGTTCTGTTCATTTCATCTACATTTCTGGGCAACTGATACCACTCCAAAACTACTTCCTCAAGTATTACATGAGCTATACTGTTCATAATTCATTGGCCTCTTTTGTGTTGAAGTGTGATAACACAGTGCCAGCCCAGTAAGTGGTAACCCTTGTCTTCTAAGCACTTCCCGCTTACCTTTCTTAGTAAGTACTTCAGACAGGAAATTAGGTTTTTTCCCCCATTTCAACATGTTGGTCCCCAAAGAAAATCTTTTTGCTTGTCAAGATTCATGGCTATTAAAAAATATGGAAAGGTTTTCAGCTATGTGGATAGTTCAAAGGCTGTTACTGAGAAAGCAGACGGATCCAGGCTGCAATCTATTGCCTTAAACTGTGTGCTGAATATTGGTGCTTGTAAACTGAAGAGGTCAAATTGGTAGGGAGCAATTGACAGTTGTTTAGAGGCTCTTGAAATGGACTCATCAAATACCAAAGCACTGTACCAGAAGATAAAGCCATCCAGGCAGAAATGCTAAAAGTCAAACAGAAGATAAAGGCAGAGAAAGATAAAGAGAAGGCAGTATATGCAAAAAATGTTTGCTCAGTAAGGATTCAATTTTGCTTAAATATTATGCATTTGTTGTATGAAGGAAATAATACAATGTAAGAGTTACTGTCTATATGTGATGGCTAATGTGATTCCTTGGACATTTCAGTTCTTTGTTGTTTACACTTTAAAATACTAATACAGGTTCCTTCTTAATAAAAAGTGGCACAAAATAATAAAAAAAAACACTAAAAAATTCATGGAAATGTAACTAACTAGAATAAACATTAAGTTATTGATATGTTGTTTCATTCTACAAAAGAGTTGGTATGACTTATGAGCTGCCTAAAAATCAAAAGTGGGATTCATAAATAAAGCAATTGTGTTCAGTTATTCAACTAAATAATGGAAAAACTCAACTTCATCATCATGGAGATGTTAAAGCTCATCTTGTTCTGTCGTGTTTGTAGGATCTCGACTCCGCCAGGAAGATTTTCCCCCACGGATTGTGGAACACCCTTCGGATGTCATTGTCTCTAAGGGAGAGCCCACCACTCTGAACTGTAAGGCGGAGGGCCGACCAACACCCACCATTGAATGGTACAAGGATGGTGAGCGGGTGGAGACCGACAAGGATGATCCCCGGTCGCACAGGATGCTTCTGCCCAGCGGATCCTTATTCTTCTTGCGCATCGTGCATGGGCGCAGAAGTAAACCTGATGAAGGGAGCTACGTCTGTGTTGCAAGGAACTATCTTGGCGAAGCAGTGAGTCGAAATGCATCTCTGGAAGTGGCATGTAAGTGAACATAATGAACCTCATATGCACATTGACGTTAGTCTTAGAAAATTTTAATTGTTTCCCATAGATGCTTAATACTGTCTAAGAATCAGTGTACTACCTAATTTCATTTTGGCTTCTCCAAAGAAATCTGATTAAAATAATGTAAGAGGTATTACGACACATTTGTTGATATTAAATCAATGTGGAGATTGTTCTCATGTTAAAGGTGGTGATTCATGATGCTGCCCATATTTAAAATTTGCATTTTTAATGGGAGATATAACCAAGTATTAAAGTTGGCTATGTTAAAATTAAAGTTGCAGTGTGACATGATATCTAATTCAAGGTATAAATTCAATATCATACCTATTTTTGGTACGTATATATTATTTGTAATATATATGTGTATATATATATATATACATATATATACATATATATCTGTATACACACGTGCATATATGATATATAAACTAATAAACTATTTAGAGGTTTAATATATACACATATGTATGTGTGTATAGATATATATTATATATATGTAAAACTTCTGAACTGTTCTTAGGAATAATTTTATATAGAATGAATTGTGAAGAAGATGGCAATAACTTTTCCTAAAAAATATTGTAATCTTCAACTTTCTGGTTTTAAATAGGTCTTCAGAAGATAAGAGAATTAAGGAGTAGAACTGGGCTGGGAGTGCTGAGTAATAGCTCCTGGACCAATGTCTTTAATTAAAGTTAGTAATGGTGATCAATCACATTCTTCATGGTATCCCACTGGATTACAAAGGTTGTATATCAGAGTATTCAATTTTTTTAAATATAAAATTGTCTTTACACATGAGAGCATCTTTGATAAAGAAAATCTTACTGTTTCTTATTTTGTTGTCCTGGTGGAAGCCTCCTTTCCTCTGATTTATAGTTTCTACCATAAAACCCACTGATGCTTAAAGTGTGTCACTCCAATTGGAAAAAAATGACACAAATTCCAAGATCTACTTTATTTTGTGTGAAAAACTTTGAGATATGAACAATAGAATCTTAACTTTTAGTGCCATTTTGCATTGGACATCAGATATTTTTTTTCCAAAAAAACGATACCACAAAAAATAAACATGTGGCTTAGTAAGATATATGAACACATGTAGTTTTAGTGAAATATACAAACAAAACCTCAAGAATGCAAATATTCCTAACTTTTCCATTTGTGATTTTTTTTTTATGATCCTGGGGATTAAAACCTGGAATTGCTCTGCCACAGAGTTACATCCCCAACCCTTTTTATTTTATTTTGATATCAGATCTCAATTAGTTACCCAAGTTGGCTTCAATCTTGTGATCTTCCTTTCTCAGCCTCCTAAGTAGCTTGTATTCCAGGTGTGTGCCACCACTCCCAGCTTCATTTTTATCTTTTATTTCTGGAACATTTCAAACACATTAAAGTATTTCAACGTAAAATTCTATTGATATATTTTCCCTGTTGACTGCTTTATTGTCAATATGACAGGCATTATTCTCCCATTTTGTAGGAAAAGAAAATGAAATCTATGGTGATTTAATGACCAAGATGCAAACTATAAGCTATAATGGGAAATCTAAGATAAGGTCCTGAATCTTCTAATTTTTAAATTGAGGGGATTGTGATATATATAAAACCAATGTCAGTGGTGTTTAACCTGTTTTACATAAATGAAAATAAGAAGTTTTTTTTCCTTTTATGTCCCCAGCAGCAAATAACTGCTTTAAATCCTCAACTAATTTTTGTTCCCCAAACTATGGTTTATTTAAACTAATTGTCTTATTGTTGGTTACTCATAGATTTCTTTTATTTCTCTCTGAGTCTTAGCTATGTTAAAAGTGCAACCCACACACATGCATGTTTTATTTTTGTTTCATCTGAGGATTACTGTCTTTCCTAATTGCGTCATTAATAATGAATCAAACTTTTTCAGAAGGAAAAAATTTAAACCATGATTCTTTTTCAAGTAACTTGACAGTAGCGTATTTTATTTTGAAATAAATGAGCTGTAGAAATGCTTGAATTTACTTATGATCTAGAGAAGTAAATAAGAAGGCTTCCAAATTGGATTTAGTTAGTGAATAATATTCTTTCTGCTAGTACCATGTCAGTTCATGCCATCTGAGGTAACACAAGATCAAATAATCTTCATTTATATATTGCTTAGTGCTTTCCATGAGCTCATCAGTCTTCTTATGTAGCTCATAAAACATATTAATATGCAAATTTGGGTCAAGGAATTGTGATTTTTTGATACCCATTGGTAACTAATTATTTCATTATAAAATGATGGAGGACTAGCTGAAAATGATATCAGTGTTTGCCTTTATATTTTGTACTACTCAACTAACTGCTCAGTCAAGGTGCATTCAAGTCCTCATCTGTTAATGGAATGTGGATAATCTCTAAAAGAGGTGTTAGATTATAATAAAGAAGAAGAGATATTCCAATCTATTCTCAAATAGCACACAATCTACTTGGAATAATGAAGTAGACATATATGAAGTAGATGAATGTAGATATAGCATTACAATGAATTAAATGAATGAAACATAAAGACCATTATAGAAACAAGTAAAAGATACTGTGGGAACCCAGAGAGGAAAATATTTAATTCTTCCTAGATAAATTATTTTAAGAGAGGATTCTGGCTGTTACCTACAGACATTAAAAAAAAAAGAAGAAGAAGAAGAAGAAAGATTCTAAGAGGATATATTATTTGAGCTCTGATTTGAAGGTCAGGTGAGAATGTCTGGGATGTAACCTGAAATGGAAGATCATCCTGGTAGATAAAAAGAAAAGTATAAAAGAACACTGGGTGTTTGGAAAACTGCAGGGAGCTTGATGTGAGGTTGGTGAGCAGAATAAATTGGGAAGGTAGGCATAAGCTGATTCATAAAATGCAGACTTTTTTTGTTTTGTACAAGGATAGTCTTTAAAAACTAATTGAAAATTATATTAAAGGGATGATGAGTAAAGTCTGAGAAGAGTTAAGCAATTGTTAAATAATTCAGAGAAGAGTTCATCTTAGATTTTAAACTGAAAACTGTAAAGACTGATGATAGGAGGAAATGCTTAGAAACACATTTAGGAATTAACATTTTTAGTAATTAACATTTTATTTCATATCACTTTATGACAAATTTGGGAAGATTGAGTGTGATTCCCAGATATTCATTTCTGCTGACTGTCTGCATATGTAGTCCTACTATCCATAGAGACAGGATATGATAAAATAACCAGTGGACACAAGGGATAGTTGTCAACTTTAACTATATGATTTAGCATGCCAAGGAGATGTCAAGGGAAAAAATTCTCACATTTCAATAATGAACAAAATTCTGGAATTGAGAGGAGAGGTCTTTTCCAGGTAGAGGTTGAAGAAATTGGAGTGGGAAAAGTAAACGTGAGTTCTCAGGCAAGCCATATGTATGGGGAAACAGTTGATAAACATGGACATCACTGCTTAGTACCCCTGTATTTAATGGGGAGCAAAGAAAAAAAGTACCAGTGCAGGAGACTCGGGCTCAGAAGAGGTATGATAAGATATGGGCAATGAAGTGACAAGAAGAACAAAATACATTTAAGAAAATACTTGGTGGACTCTACCTAGTACCAAGTACCAAGAAAGCACCTGTGGACTCTAGCACTGGAGACACACATCACAGCAGTTGAAGAAGGACTGGGTAGTGCAGCTGGAGTGGCAAATGATGTCTGTTCTTTCAAGGCTGCAACTCGGAATGGGGTGTGTGAAAACTAGGGTATCTCAACATCTGCAATTGCCTTTAGAAGTTGGATAATTTTGTATTGTGGGGGCTTGTGTTCTATATTGTAGAAAGTTTAGAGGCATCTTTGGCCTTTCTCCATAAGATGTCAGTAAAATTTTTCCTCAACAACAGTTGGGAAAACCCCAAATGTTGGCACATATTGTAAAATCTTTCCTGGGGTACTTCAGACAGGAACCAGGGCTCCAGGTGTAAGCATGAGATCAAAAGTATCTTATTACCAGCAGACCAAACTTGTCAAAGCTTTTCCTGTGAAATGATTATTGATAAAGAAAAAACACTATGGAAAATGTGTGACTCCCTTTGCTTCTCCATACTTTCCTTTCTAATTACAAAAAGAACTGAATTTTGCTCTAGTATGATATGTGAAATGTCATTGTCTTGATTGGGCAAGTGAAAAATCAGCCTGTTCTATCCTGTACCATATTCATACACTTTTCCTTTTTCCTTTAATGTATAGTTAGTTTTATGTAATGGAACGATGCAATGAAGATAAATAATACTCAGACTAATCATTGCAGTGGAAATTTAAATTGCTTACCTCTTTTGTTGCTTTTTTCCCCCCTTGGTTTGAGGGAAATAAAAAGCAATGCAGAAAGTGCTTTTCAAATCACTTGAACTCAAGAAAGATCTTTAGGCAAAAAGCAACATTTGAATAGTTAGAAAAGAGGAGTTGCAGGGGCCACAAGCAAGAGGCCTGGCACTGAAAAAGTTAATGTGCAGTGCTCTGATGGGACCACCAGGAAAGCCAGGGCCTGGCTGGGGCAGATAGGGTTTCAGCTCCAAACAAGTGCTCTGGTGTGTGTGTGGAGCAGGAGCACAAGGGGCCCTGGAAGGAGTGCGGCTGCCCTGGATACAGCCAGAGTCAGTGGCAGCCTCTAGAGATAGCAGCTGTAGCCCCAGGTGGTAAATATATGACAGCAGCTTGATCTATCGACCAGGGGAAGAGGGGTTCTGGCCTAAATGAAAATTCATGAAAAATTGATGAAGTCCCCAGATTATTTTTTCCGTTTCCTTTCCTCAGCACTATGCCAGCGCAGAGAGGAGAGATTAAATGAGGTACTGAACGTGTTCGTGGCAGGAGGTTGTGGTTCAAGGGTTAAGGGTCACATAGAAACCGATCTTTTTTTTTTTTTTTCCCCCTGTTCTTACTTCTAAAGCAAAACACAGGAACTTTTCAGGTTAATTGTGATTCACATTCATTCGCTT